CCTCCAATTACGACTCGCGCCCACAATCCACATACCCACATACATACACATACACACGTACATACACGTACGCAGTCACGACCAGTGCGCGCGCGATCGCTCTCTCGGTCCCCTTGGTCGAAAAAATTCTTTGATCTCGCGATTTACGCTTACAATTGATCGAATTTATCGGTTGGGCGCGACCAGCCGACCGAAATAACAAGATTATGAACCGGGCATTGTAAGCGCCGTGTATATTTTCCTTTAAATATATCGGTCTGAAAAAAGCACGGCGGATTATCGTGCGGCCTCTGAACTTCGACCGCGGTTCTTCGCGAGACGCCGTCGGATTATTTTATCGTAACGGACCTTGCGAACACGCAAGCTGTACATTTTTTCAGGTCCCGCTTTGCCCCCTCCTCTTTCCGTCGCCCTTTTCCATTTCTCCAAACTCGAGACTACGCGCACGGAGGGCGCGAAGAATCCCCGCGACTGCTTTCTCTCCTGCTCGCGTTTAGACGCGGAGGATAATCGGGATCCACTCGAGTCTACGTTGCGCGCGCGTAATATTTCAACAGATAGCCGCCATCGTCGCGGACAAGGCAGTGGCAAGGATGCCGGAGATAAAAAATTAAAGAACCAAGGGCGCGTTCGTGCGACGCGACGTACCGTGACACGCGATCACGTTGTGTCTTTCTTTGCACAGACACGAAACCTTAGCCGCTTATACGGCACGACATATCGACGATAACTCGTTTTTGCCGTGTTTGCTGTTAAAATTAAACTCGATGTCCGCCATGATATCATTCGCAGATTCTATCGCACGGAAATCTCTGTGTTTTATTTTACCGAGTAGTTCACGAGCTCACCCGTCATACGTTTACGTAACGAGTGTTCTCTTTTCTATTCACGTATACTCCCTAATGAGCAATTGCTCATACTTTGCGAAAATTAATGAGACGTGGCGAAGTCATGGCATCGGCCACCGGTGACCCTAGCGACAACGTTGACATACTGCACACGTGCTAATATAACGTTAACTTTGCGTTGCACAAAGTATCGTGTGTGTGTGTGCTCGCGCGCGGAGCCGCGAGGAAATAGCCGGAGGAATTTTATTAATATCAAAGAATATTAAAATGAAATGAAATATTATTCAATTCAATTACTTTATTAATATTATTCAATTCAATTATTAACTTGGAAACACTTTTAAATTTGCCTACAAAAGATTGTGAAAATTACTTTTTCGAATAAGATATGCGACATCGTGACGCGAAAGCGTTTCAGCCGCAAGCTTCGAGGACGTGGCCTCACTCTGCTGGCTAAACAGCGCCGATCTGCAGAAAGCGCAATTTTACCGCGCCGGCTGTTAACGCGTTAACGCAAATCGATCGCGCGCGAAAAGAGCGAAAGTTCTATGAGAAAGTTCGATCAGATGCCGCTTTATCCAGCTGGCACCGTCGCGGTGTGATACGTACCTAGTTTTGCAAGCAGTACACGTCATAAAAGTCGAACAAACTGCGTGCAGTGCGCGCGAGCGCGGTGATTTAGCGCTTCATTAGGCCGCGCGTTGTCTCGAAAGCTAATTGCGCTCTCGCAAACATGCGTTCCACATAATCGTTATCGTTCTCGCTCTTTGTCGCGCGCGCGCGCGCGCGCTGCGCTATCTCCTTCGTCGTCTCCTCACCCGCGCGACTAATGAAGAGATAGCGCGCGAAGCCTCGTGACGCTTCTTCGCCGTGAAATGCGCGAGTATTCGGCTCGCGTCGCGGGAGAAGAATGCGCCGCGATTGCGCTGCGTTGACACACATCGACTGCCAAATTACGACTTTTCTCGTAGTTGGCGTGCGAAAAGTGTACCCCTCTGCTCCAACCGCACACGATAAAATATCGTTCTAATGCGAAGAAAAGAACGACTACTCCACTCTTCTTCTTTTAAGTGGTGGCTATTTTCAACGAAAAATATTTTCTCGATAATAGTCCTCAGATCGTTCTCATCGCAAATTTGATTAAAGCTCATTGAATATCATATTGGTATGATATTCTTTTCGCGATTATATCATAAAATCTATCCAAGAAAAAGTTTGCTCGACTTTCTATAGTAAGCAAACCGAATTTTTGTTTTAATTTAATATTCCTTATTGGAATGTTAAGTTTAATAGAATTCAAAATGTATTTTGAGTAAATTTAGTGATTGTGACAAACTTACGACAGATTTGCAGACATATAAACATTTGAAATACTTGAAACAAGTGAAAAATACTTGAACAAGTTTACTTGAATGCAATATGCATTTTTCTATGCATACGCGTTAACTCATACGGGTTTCTTCTTTTATGAGCTTAGAGTTGTAAAGTTCTTTTAATAAGAATAATGGGTATAATTAATTAACCCACTAAAATAACACGCTGATTTTATAAGTGGTGTCAGAGACAAAGTTCCCTACACTGAGGAAGAATATTTACAAATTTACTTATAAGATATAAAACTTATTTCTGCGAATAAACTTTTATACACCCACGAATAAATTTTCAAGTATTTCTTTATTAACGTAATGCCATTGTGTTAACACAATGATTGATTTGATTGATTTCCACTGATTGTTCGAGTGCTCGGTTAAGGCTAAAGTTTGATTCACCAAAGATATGGTAAATGAATGCAATTCACGATGCATGTATTCGTTCGTTTCGTTTACTCTCTAGCTGCTGTACATATTTAATTTGTTATATGCAATTAGTTTTGTTTTATACGTAAATTAGCGTGACGTGGCAGTGTTATAGCGCCGGACACTGATGACCTCTTCATGGCAGTCAACGTGTTTTCCCGGTGGCGCTGCCGCGATGTGAAATCGAAGGGGTCGTCTGCGGACGACGCACGACTGTGATTACGTTACGATACCGTTGATAATATTTTATCGTAAATGTAGAGCACGGAGTTACAGTAGTTTAGTCCGCGGTGTACTTTATGCGATCTCCGCGAGAGAAATCGATTGTCGACGCGGCGAGGAAGGTTTTTACCGTGATATATAGGTGTGTCTCTCTAATGCGTACGTATATGTATGCGTATATGTACATATATGTACACACATATATACATATATATATATATATATATATATATGTGCACGTCTGTTTTCGATTAATTTTCATTTTCTCACTACGTCATGGCGCAATAATCTGCAATGCAGATGCGACTCGCATTTTTAATCGATGACTTATACTGAGAGTAGTAAGCAACTGCGGAGTGACTCAATGGTGAGCTTCAGCAGGAACTCGTATAATTCCCCAACTCATATCTCGCTTCGTTGATGACAATGCGATAATTAGCAATTCTAAACGCCATTCTGAGCCTTCGTACGCGTGTGGGCGTGTATAGAGAGACAACTGTAGTAGATACTTACTCCGTCGCGCGCGACCGAGTTCGCGTCGTCGTCGTCTTGGCTCGTCGGCAAGATTTTCGTGTTACCACGGAGAGACACACGCCAAGCCGGCGGCAGGAATTTGGATTCGAAATGACTCGAAAGAAAGTTTCTCCCTCACGGCACAAACGCGCCGGCTCTTATTCAGCGAGCCGTAATTTCTAGGTTCACAAGGCGTACCGGTTTTTCACGCATCGTCAGCGGCCTTCCTGTCGTGAGACCGGATGCGCGGCGATAAGTACAAAAGAAATGCTGCTACCTAACAGACAATACTGCTCAGGGCCAACCAGCGACTAAGTTATTGTCCTTGCTGTTTATCGCGGTGACCCGTTAACGAGGCCCATCGGGGAAGAACAACGTGCGCGGCCACTTCCGTTCGGCCCTTCCTTTCCTCGTTTTTGCGAATGGAAATCCGACGACGCTCGTATGCAAATCAAATTACCTGCTCCGAGATCTTTATTGTCTCTGCCTTCCTCTCCTTCCTCCCCCCCGCCTCTCTCTTTCTCGTCTGCTGAGAGTCTAGACCGAAATAATTATGCATCGATGACCGGCGACTAATTCGTGAGAGTGCAAATTAGTTCGTGATAATGCGGCCGTGCTATTTTCTAGGCCGCTTCCATTAGTCGAACAGTCGGAATGTTACAAATAGGCGCATCGTGCCGTTTGCGTGCGTTCATCGATTTTTCACGACGCGACGCGACGCACCGCGTCACGTTGTGACGGCAAAGTGTCAGTATCTGTCGGGCGAATCTCTCTTTAAATTAAAAGAAAGAAAAAGCGCGGTGTCTATCTTGATCGACACGAGGCAAAAATTTCCGGAAATTAAAGACCGTTCTTCTTGTATCCTTGAAAGAGTCTCGGACGTCGGAGAAGAGAAAGAGACAAACTGGTGACTTAAGGCCCTTGCAGAATGCTAGGCAACAGGCAATAGGAACAGGGAGTAGGAATTCCGACTGATCAATTATTTCTATTCCCTGTTCCTATTGACTAATACCTATTCCTATTGCCTGTAGCCTGGCATTGTGCAAGGACTTTTACTCCTGAGACGATTGTTGATTGTCAACATGATAACGTTATGCATATTGATCTCTTTACATTAAACATATTAAATCATTTTTCTTTTTTTTTTTATCACATCTTTTTTTAGTGGATGTTTTAATGAACAATGAACACATAAGGCCGCGCGTAGCCCGCGTGCATCGTCGCCGAACCGAAAGAGATACGACCCTGATTGCTGGCATTCGTGGAATGTACGTTGAACTGAGACGCATGGTGGGAAATAGGCGGACGTGTCGACCGGTATTCAAGCGAGTATCGCGAAGCAGGAAGCTGCCGTGCACTGTGCGTGCATGAGATCTACCGCGTCGCGTTATACACGTCGCTTCAAGTCGTTAAGCTCCACGCCGGCATTTCTCATTGACAAATGGGAAATCGCTGTCAGAAATTTGTCTAATTTTCTTGTCAGAAACGGCCGTTTGCAGCTAATGTGGATTTCTTCCAAAATTCTCTGTATTGAAACCAACATTGGGTCCGGTTGAAAACTTCTGTGCCAGAAGACAAGACCAGAAACGTTGAAACTAACCTTGTACAATTTCAATTTCAGCAACTCAAAGATGAATTGGGCGAAGTCGTGGCGGAGATGGAGGCGATGGAGGGCGGCGGACTCACGGCCGACGAGACGAAGCCATCCAACAAGGCCAAGCAAACGTCGATCGGCCGCAAGAAGTTTAATATGGATCCTAAGAAAGGCATCGAGTACCTGATAGAGCACAACCTGTTGGCGCCGACACCGGAGGATGTCGCTCAGTTTCTCTATAAGGGCGAGGGTCTCAACAAAACCGCGATCGGCGATTACCTCGGCGAGCGGCACGATTTCAACGAGCGCGTGCTCAGGGCCTTCGTCGAGCTACACGACTTCACGGATCTCATACTGGTGCAGGCCCTACGCCAATTTCTCTGGTCGTTCCGACTACCCGGCGAGGCGCAAAAAATCGATCGTATGATGGAGTGTTTCGCTCAAAGGTACTGCCAGCTAAACCCAAATATCTTCACCAATACGGACACCTGCTACGTGCTGAGCTTCGCCATCATTATGCTGAATACGTCGTTGCATAATCCGAGCGTCAAGGATAAGCCCAGCGTGGAGCAGTTTATTTCGATGAATCGGGGGATTAATAACGGCGGAGACCTGCCGCGAGAACTGCTTGTGGTAGGTATACTTACGCGACAGAAACACCAAGACATTCTCATGGCCTCTCGGTCGAAAGTTCAAAGTACAGATTTACGTGTTCAATGTACGCAGCGCGACCCAACGTATACTGCGCGTATACGTATGCTTAAGAGAGCGTATCAAGTGACCATTAGTCAGTTTATTCTCACTCAGAAAAAATGATCTTAGTGAAAATTTTCTAGATATGAGAAATTAGATAAGATGCATTAATAATTAGCAAACACGAAAAAGATATCGTATACATCTTTTGTATTTAATCAATATAGAGGAAGAGACAAAATTTATATTTGAATTTTAGCAGAAATTTATATTTTCAAATTTAGCAGAAAAGCATCTCTCTGTGGCGCCCACTCAGATTGAGGCCAGATTAATAATTGGTAACGGGATCTAAATTTGCCTGCAAATATTGCTAGAATGCTGCTGCTATAAATTCTACATACAATTTTCTAGCAGTTATAAAAATAGCGACAAATTTTAACTATGACATTTAGAATTTTATTTGGACCAGCAAAACATTTTTATGAGTGTCCATGGCATTATTTTTTTTCATAATATTTGTATATGTAAAATACGCTTAGATGCAAGTACATACTCTCCTGATTCGTATCCTCGATAAATGTCACCATTGATACGTTGATATTTTTCGAACGCTTTACATAGTATTTCTGTACGTTTTTGGAGGAAATTGAGAGTCTCTACGATATTTTTAAATCTCGGAAGTATGTCACTCGAGAGACGCGCGGAATACTGTCAATTCGTAATTAATTTTCAGAGCTTATACGAAAGTATCAAAACCGAGCCTTTCAAGATACCGGAAGACGATGGCAACGACTTAATGCACACCTTCTTCAATCCCGATAAAGAAGGTTGGCTGTGGAAACAAGGTAATGCCCGTTCATATTCGTATAAAAACTTCAGTAGATCGACTACAATGTCTCCTGACGATTTTTAGTTTCTCTCCACTTAGTACATTTTCCAAGTAATACTTGTTTTCTCATTCTCATGCGCATGCTAGAGTACGAAGGCACAAAGTTACGCTCGTTACCAATTCAGAATTCTCTATGTATTCATTCGTTTAATTTCGCAAGCCGAGATTACGAGACGAAAGAAAAGTTGTGAATGAAACACGCGGCATCTCTTATGATATTTCTCGACTTTTGTCACGTTTATCATTGGAGGAACGCTTATTCTTATATTGTATTACTTTGTCCCTCTGCTGCCCTGACGGAGACAGCAGGTAAATAGCATCTCTCCGGAAACTATAGGCTCTTAATTCTATATATCTCGTATTTTGTTACAGGTGGACGTTATAAGAGTTGGAAAAGGCGGTGGTTCATATTGAATGACAATTGCTTGTACTATTTCGAATACACAACGGACAAGGAACCACGTGGCATCATTCCGCTAGAAAATATTCAGGTCCGAGAGATTCAGGACCGACACAAACCACACTGCTTTGAATTGTACGCTGCTGGTTCCGAGTTCATAAAGGCGTGCAAAACCGACAGCGAGGGAAAAGTCGTTGAAGGTATGGAATATCTAAATCGAAATCTAATCGGTGCTGGCCAAAATTCACATCGGAGTGATAAAAATTTAATTATTATTCGGCAGCAACATAATTATTAAAATGAGATCAAATATGTCAAATATGAAACAAATTGTACATATGAAAGGATAATTCAATTGAATATTCGTCTGTGATCTTTCGCAGGAAAACATACCGTATACAGGATGTCTGCAGCTACCGACGAAGAGAAGGACGAATGGATCAAGTGCGTACGGTAAGTTAAAAGTGACAAAAGACTAATGCAGTCGCGTTTACACTTGACTGCACTCTTATATAATAGAATACTGTGAAATCGCGTGAAAATGGCTCTTAAAACGTTCCTATTCATTTCCAGACAAAGTATATCGCACAATCCTTTCTACGACATGCTGGCAGCACGAAAGAAAAAGGCACAAAAAACCAATGTGCACTCGAAGAGTTAAGCGCTGCCATAAGCCAGATTTCGAAAGAAGCCTGGCAATTTAGAAGACTGTTTATTCGCGATCCAACGTTACATATAGTATCGTCGGATACAACCAAATCATAGGATGGGCATAAGAGCCCATCGAGAAAGAAAGAGAAAGCACGCCGAAAGCGTTTTACAGAAAATTCTGATGGACGCCAGACGTGGTGCCGTAGTAACGTGATACGAAATACCGCTGCAGCATGTGCTTGCAATACGTAGAATACGACATTAACGTAACATCGTTCGTAGACTGAATATCGAATGCAGAATTGACGTTCTTGAGTATCCCACGAATGCGCAACAATGATAAATAGATGAAGATTACAATAACGAGAACACACAAGGCTGCAAATACACTGCAAAACGACGTGACAGCATGACGCTCGATCAGCATTATATTTAAACAAAGAGAATCTTGTGCTTTAGAGGCCTATAGATATATTTCCATGGATTTAATAGGTAGAGTGTCTACAAAGACCTCTTCTTTCCTTTCGTCATAGAGAAAATGAGATGCGCGGCTTCGTATATACGGGACATAAAAGTCTGTACACAATTATACAGGAGTAAGTGATATCTATAAATTGACGGTAAATTGACAGCAGAATAGTACGAGCAGGTATCTGTTTGTTTAATCTTTCATACCTTGCTGAAACAGAGAGAAAATCAATAATCTCGAATGTTAACTTTGTAATCGCGCAATGTAGACACCATTAATGTTCTTAGCGACATATCTAGCAATATAATATTGCGCGAGTACGACTTATATAACAAGCTATGAGCAGAGAGAACAAGTTTCATTTTCCGGCAGCTTCAAAACATCGTGTTGAAGCTCTACCTAACCTTAGGGAGCTGATAATACAACGCTTGAGGTATTTTGTACGAGATATAAGTAGTATCGTTCCGTGCAAATAAAAATATAACGATATTCCGTAATCTCCGATTACACGAAGGACAAGAAGAGTAAAGACAAGAAACCGATAGAAATGATATATTCATGTGATAATTATATTCATTGTGTATTTATTTGAACAAACATGTACAAATGTGAAACTAAGTGATATATTCTTAGCATGAGACGGAATTCTCTTCAGCTGTTCATGCTTATATAATTTACGAATGTAGCATGATTAGAAAACTAGAGTTTGTTTAATTCGTGAGACACATAACACACAGACACACATGAACATGATTCAGTGTAGCGATTAAAATACATACGATAAGTTCAAAATAACATCTTACTAAGAGATCTGACGGGGAACCTGCGACTCGATTATTCTTGATTTAAGAAGAAGAAATTAAAACGTTAGAAAGGTAGGTTTTATGAGAAGTGTATATGTAAGTACGAAACGAGTTTGCGCCGTGATCGTAGCTCTCTTGCATTACTCCGAATGAGCATCATTTCACACGAAGTTATCCGTAAGTATGTTTCATGTTTTGATAGAACTTCACAATTCCTTCGCAAAACTTTGCTTCATTAGCATCCGATATACCGTTACGTGCTCAGCTAATGCAAAATTAGCAACAGAGAAGCAGGTGCCTTTGAGATCGTCGAGCTAGTCGTAATAGCTGATCTGTCATACACAAGAGACTCGAAAGACACTTTCCTTTGTTACGTGCGAGGAAAGCCAGACATCGAAAACGCCTTATTATAATACGTTAGATAATTAACGAAACATTAAAGTAATCATAGAAGCAGATAATAATAGCGTGTAATTTTTTGTTTATGTCATGCTGTTCTCAAAGAGACCTTATTCACTCTATGAATCATAATGTTCCCCAATTTATGATAGATTCGCGAAGAAGGCATTTTTTATAATAGTATCGAGGATATATTTGCTGAAATCGTGAATTCTTTGATTTGTTCGATTTTCCGATAGTCGTGGATATATGTAGAGTAGATTCGCCTGGTTTTCTGGTTCTCGTTCCACAAAAATGTTAGAAACAATTTGTCCGATTTTATGTACACTCTGTTTCATATATTCTGTTTTCATATAGTTTAAACACTTTTTTTCTTCGATGCAGTTTGAAATGCAGTCAAGGCTCAATAAGAGAATTTAATTTCTGGGAATTAAACAAAAACAAGTTATTGGACCATCGACTGCGTTCCAAGCTGCATCGAGAAAAAAGGTTCAAAGCGTTTTAAAATCAAGTATTTATGTAAAAAACGTTTTCGATATATATATATATATTTACTTGAATATTTAATTGCGAGATAGATTTTTGCCAATATATTCTGAAGACGTTTTCTTTTCGTGAACATGCTGCTTACCGAGTCATGTAGACAATAACATATTATGTTATCAAACAATATGTCTAAAACCGTAAAATGCGTGTTCGAAGATAAAAGTGAAACAGTTATGCCGAATCTTGGAATCATTTATGAACTTGTAATATTTCTTTGTGGGATGTTTGTCGAGCCGATGTTGTAATATATCCTATATCGAATCGAATTTAGGAAGATCGATTGATTATTTGTGCTAGTACATAGATTTTATATAACTCGTGAGAATAGTCCGGCAGACTTTCACATTTCATTGTCAGCGTTGATGAGAATGTTTTGTGGATTTATGTGCGCATATCATAGATTTATCAATGAATGCGGCGTTTCACGAGTAACATAGTCATTTTCTAAGAAATCTGACTCATGAGATTATAATCTCGATGAAACACGTCACAATAAATCTATGATATATATTCTAATACTGTACATACACGTATAAATATATCTCGGTAAATTATAAGCGTAACTACGTATGGAATAAAGTTATTTCGTCTTTTCTCCTGTAACTCGATTTGTAATTTTACTCTGTGTATATTTCGTTGTAAAGTACAAAGATAACGTATATATATATACATATATATATAAGGAAACGTTTGAAACTATATATTAGCAAAATAATTGATCGAATTTAAGGATTGTATAAAGAATTGTACTTTATTAGTAGAAAATTTGTACATTTTGTTGTATATTATTTGATAATTATCGTTATGTATACATAATGAATCGTATAGTGTATTTGGCGAACAAAAATGTGTATTAATTTAAATGTAATTAATAAATTTATTTCTAGCAAACGCTCCTCACACGTGTCGTCACAAGCAAAGACTAATTCCAATTAATTACACGAGTATCGCTACGTATCTTCAGATTTATTGAATCAAACGTAAAATTACTAAGTGCTTTCCGTATGCTCTAGCACTAAAATTAAAAAATAATTTATTAGAGTCATCTTGATTCAGATTCAATACTTGATTGTTTGATGTTTCTAATTTGTTAAAAATATAGGAGAAATGTTTATTGACCAACCATTAATAATTTAATAATTAAGAGAATTTCTTTTAATTATACATATATATCAAAGAAAAATTTGTTTGATATTTCTAATTTGTTAGAAATATTGGAGAAATGTTTAACTATTGACCAAGCATTGATAATTTAATAATTAAGAGAATTTCTTTTAATTATACATATATATCAAAGAAAAATTTGTTTGATATTTCTAATTTGTTAGAAATATTGGAGAAATGTTTAACTATTGACCAAGCATTGATAATTTAATAATTAAGAGAATTTCTTTTAATTATACATATATATCAAAGAAAAATTTAAGAACGACCATATCGATGTTTTACTTTATACGGCTTTACATAATGTTTGATACGCCATCTATGCTCGAACAGCCGCACAAAACTGTATCAAATAAAACTTTTGTGTGGCGACTCTCAGGCATTTCTCTGCTATTGGCTGCGTTCAGCAGAGAAAGCTGCTTTGCAATTGTTGTAATTCGTGAATCTGATTGGAATATGCTCTTAATTTTGATTGCCAGTCAGATTTACGAATTTTACAACAGTTGTAGAGCAGCTTTCTCTGCTAAACGCAGCCATTATCATCACAGTTGCAGAAGATGAAAGTCAATATAGATGGTGCTCATTTATCTCCATTTTCGAATCCGTTCTAACCCGCACAATTTGTCGTTACAAATGTTCAAGTGTAATTATTGAAGTGAGAATTGCACATATTATAATTGCATATATTTAATGCACCAAACGAAAAATGCGAATTTTAATGATCTATCTGCGTTTTCATGGGAACGTTCGATTAATCCGCAAACAGTTTAAGTGACGAAAAGATATTTACGCTTTATTGATATAAATTCTTATATTAACAGTTGTATGGGTATACACGCGGATATTCGATGATTAAACCGTTTAACTTGTACGGTTTCTCGGAGCCCACGAGTGCAATTTATTCGGAGAATCTCGACTTACCTGTGACATTGAAAAGCGTTTACCTTGAATACTAAGGGACTCTTAGCGAAAAAGCAATTTCCTCGGGTTCCATTTTAGGCGGTTTTTACGCGCGATGCTAAAGCAATCTGACGAATGAGAATGATCGCGAGCATCCACGCGGCTGAATCTCCTTCATTTTGAGATCGAAGAAGCGGGCCGCGCGAGATCGGCGCTGGAAAGGATTTCGCAGGGCACCGTGTGTGCGCGCCAGTTGGGAGCACGGAAAAATTGGGTCGATGCGCGGAAGATGGCGGCCGCTGCGTGGTGTGCGTAAAGGGGATCGTGTTCGGATTTTGCGGAAAAAAACATGAGTGAATGCGATAAGGTGCATTGACACGCGCAAAACGCGACCACTCGTGCGAGCGGCATGGCACGCGCGTAAAAACGCCGCTTACGCGGACTCACGTCGGGTCCTCTCGCGATCGCGGGGGTGTTATCGTTTGTTTACGATAAGCGGCAGTAAAAAGCCTCTGCTCTTTCGGTTTTCGGTTCCCCGCGCGCGCGGGGCCAGTAACGCGTTCGCGATTCGCGACGCGAAGCGGAGTGCAAAACGGAGAGAAAGGGACACACACACACGCCGAGGGAAAGAAAGAGAACGAGGAGATACGAGGGATTCGGCACTGGAGATAAAGTGTTGCCGGACTTCGGCCCGGTGAAGAAGACCCGTAGAGATGCTGAAGCAATTGCAGATGGGGATGAGAGCTTTCCTCTTAATGGCCTCCCGTGTGTGGACCTGCATTTGCTTTCTACTCAAGAAGCAGGTTAGAACCGTAAGTAGGTGCCTCGCGCCTCTATTCGCCTTCTTCAGAGAGTCCAGTTGCAACAGACGACCGCTACCGTGGTTCGCTGTTTCCCTCGCACCGTTCTCCGCTCGCTACACACGTATTGACATTTGTTGATATAACGCTCCGGTAATATTCGCGTGTACCACAGCGGAGACACTCGTCTCTGATGATAAATCAAACCTGTGTGAAAATCTTTTTGGTTTTATTTTTCTTTTATTTCTTTTATTTTTTCTAGAGATTTCGGGGGACTTGTGCTTGCAATCAGCCATGAAAATTTTTTTGATGTCACTATTTAATATTCATATAAGATAGATTATAATTGTAATGTGAAACAGACAGTATACATGTGGTCCATGTTTTTATTCGCATGTATTTATGATGATTTGGATCATAGTTGTAATAGTCGTGCTATAATATATATTAGTTGTTATTTCTTAATTTATGTATAGAATGCAAAAAATTATGATAAGAATCTTATTATTTTGTAGCAAATACCTGTTATCTCTCAATTGCTGTATTATCATCAGAATTTGTAGTTTTTTTGTCTTAACTGCTATCGTGTTTAAATTTTTTATACGTTGCAAGTTCATGATATGAAAATGATGTATTCAATGTTTTTTTGTAGGTCTCACAAATGCAACCAGTCAAGTATGAAATCTTTCCACTTTCACCTTTATCCAGGCACAGACTTAGTAAGTACTAAGGATGTGTAAATTTTACATATTACCTTGTGTATCAATATTTTTTTAGTATTTGTGTGTAATACAAGAATGTTTCAGGTATAGTTAAAAGGAAGGTATTAGTATTGGATTTAGATGAAACATTAATTCATTCACATCACGATGGAGTAGCAAGGCCAACCGTCAGGCCTGGTACACCTCCAGATTTTGTTCTTAAAGTGACGATAGACAGACATCCTGTTAGGTTTTTTGTTCATAAAAGACCACATGTAGATTTCTTCTTGGACATTGTTAGTCAATGGTAAGTACTGTTGCTAAAGAGGAGAAGATACCATTTCAATTAAGTTGCATTCTCACTCTCAGACTTTGACTCCAAGATAAGATTGTATTAATTGCTTTTCTGTTATTATCTACAACAATGTTACGTTTAGGTACGAACTTGTAGTCTTCACTGCATCCATGGAAATATATGGGGCAGCAGTCGCGGATAAGCTAGATAACAACAGAGGTATTTTAAGGCGCAGATATTATAGACAACATTGTACACCAGAAATGGGTTCCTATACTAAAGATCTGTCGGCAATTTGCTCAGACCTTTCTTCAGTCTTCATTCTTGATAACAGTCCAGGAGCCTATAGAGCTTATCCGGGTAAGTATATGTGATTTCAATTGTGATCATCCTTCGTGTTTGAACAGAAGTGTTATCTTAGGAGCTGACAATCTCGATCACGATTTATACGAAAGCGATAAGTTAAAAATAAATTTTAAGTAGCCTTGAATCACATCCTCGATAAAGAGACCATCTTTTACTCAGCCTTATAATCTTCTTCAAAGCCTTGCGTAATGTGTTTGTCATATTTTATGTGAAGTATTGTTTTCTGTAGTCAGAACTTGCTTACAAAACGCTGATGATTATGTACAGTTATGTATTAACTCATTGATACGACGGTCAGTCGTCAAATATGTTTCTTAAATAATCGAATACTCGTCATATTGCATTACAGCTAAATAATATTTGCATTTATTGCAATAAACTAACTTGTCCTGTGCACTTTTCACTATTGTGGTCAATCATTGAATCTGTTACTTTCACATTTGTTTTTTCTTTCATCTCATGTGAAAAATACAAGCCAGTCTTTCTCTTTAAATAATGATATCTAATAACACCATAAAACATCTCTAGTATCTTTAACCATATGATACATGCGTCGTTCATGTTGCTTCATTCTTATAGAAATGAGTGAGATATAATAGAGTTTAATAATAGTTATCGATAACAATCGGGAAAACATGAATCCGATTTTAGCAGATATCTGTAATATCATAATAGCATTGATAACGTATTGTAGATTAGCGAATAATATATTTGCAATACTTGTTAAATAATACTTGGCAATTTTACGTTTTGTATATCGTACAAAAATACCGGTTTTCTCTTCGTATAATTGGCAAAGCAAAAATTGGATAGGACAAGACAAATGAAGAATGTATCTATTTGCAGCTTTGAACATTGATGCTTGGTAAGCAAGCACTGAATACAGAGACGTACGGATAAGTCTAAAAAAAAAAAGCAACCGCTGGTACACTTCTCCATTTGAGTAAGCACTGTACTCCAATGTCGGTGATGAAATAATCTCAGCTGTCTTAGAGATCTTTTAATAATTCCTGTAAATTAGTTACTGGTTTCACAGGGTAAATTCTTCTTTTGAGTCGAATCGTAGAACTTTTCACATTGAAGAAAATCAAACTAATATCTTAAACAATGAATAGATTATTAGCAGATTTTTATATAATTATACGGAAAAGTGAGAAGGGGCTTCTAAAGATCACAAATAATATGCGCTTATGGGTAAATTTGTTGTTAATTTTATTTTATAACTGTACTTTATATCTAGATCATACAATCTGAAAATATGAAAGTGGAAATGTACAGCAACAAATATTTAAAATATATTATCAAATCTATTTAAATATTTTATTAATAGCTTGTAATATTCATCATAAAAATTTTGTTTGTTCTAAATATATCATTGTCCTCTACTTTCCATTTACATCATGTTATTAATTTTCTATTTATATTATAAACTGATTTTATATTGCATATTATTTATTTTAGCTATTTTGAATAAAAGAATATAGGAAAAGAACTTTGTACCTCTTTGATTTTCTTCGATGCATTATATTAAAAATAGTTAAAAAATTAGAATGTGATATCAAAGAGCAATTTAAAAGATCGTTTTTTCTCACGATATGCTTTGCTTTAATTATGTAGAAGTATACGTAATTCAACGCTGTTTTAACGCATATAACATTAAAGTAAAAAAATCTTGATAATGATGATAATACTATATATATGTATATATGTGTGTGTGTGTATATATATATATATATATATATATTATTGTTGTTTTATTTATGTTGTAGATAATGCGATACCTATAAAGTCATGGTTCAGTGATGCAGGAGATACTGCTTTATTAAGCTTACTTCCAGTGCTGGATGCTCTTCGTTTCACGCAAGATGTGCGTTCTGTTCTTTCAAGGAATTTACACTTACATCATACTTGGTAGCATAGTTGGGATTGAGCGATATATGCTTGATATTCTCTAGAGGTGAAGTTGCTAACAACTTAGTGTGTCTAGCCTAGAATTATTATTGTTATTAATAATAGAGCAACATTAGAAGTCGCTGCCCATATAATGAAAGATGAGGCTCCTTCCAAAGTCCTCGTTTTTTTTTTCATACTCGTTGAATGACGAGTAGACATTGAAGGAAGTGGTATTCAGCCAATAATTACATCAGCACAAAGTATCTTAGGATAATTCTTTATGTTATACAATCCATGTGTGCAAAATCGTTCGAATTTCTTTACTTTTCTGTTACATAAGCATTTGCCAAAGACCAAAATACGAAAATAATATAGAGTCGCGCAGCAGGATTTTTTCTTTTTAGATAAGGATTACTTAAAGTTTTTATTTATATATATTTTGCGGCACATCATGGAAAGAGAGAGAAAGAGAGAGAGAGAGAGAAGAAGCGAGCGAACGAACGAACGAACGAATGAACGAACGAACGAAAAAGAAAGAGAAAGTGTGTGTGTGTGTGTGTGAAAGAGAGGAGGAAGTAATCGAAATGAGATACTTTTGTTACTGTATATTATTAATGTAGGATGTAGAAAAATATACACTAAGTCAAAAGAACTTTGCTGCAACTCACTGTATCAGTGAGGTAGCTATCCTGGTATATCTGATATATATATATATATATACATATATATATATATATATATATATAAAGTAATATTAATATATAAATATATATAATGATGTATGTATATATGTACACACATCGTTCATTTGCTGCAAGAATGACATAACTAAAAAATCGCCCTTATTGAGTTAGTACAGGGAGTTGGTACATGTACTATTTACAGCTAAAACTACGATTACTTACGATGTTACTTTACTAAATATGTCAATATATTTAAAATTTTCATACAAAGTTATAGCAATTCAAAACATTAAATCGTGTCTCCTGAAAATTATATTTTTTTGAGTTATGTCATTGTCGTGTCTCCTGAAAATTATATTTTTTTGAGTTATGCCATTATTGCAGCAAATGAGCGATATATATATACACATATTATTATACATGTATATGTAATATGATATATATATAAAACCAGGAAACAGAGAGTAATATCTATTCTCGTCAATCTTTCGCGAAATAGAATATTGCATATGCCCAATTATACGATCAATAATCATTGGTTTTCATTGATGCACACTTTAAGTGAGCTAATAGCGAGTTAATGATCCTACACACATACACACACGCCTGTGTATTTTGTTCGCTTGTTTAACCATGCATCATGGAAAATGCAACAGTAATAACAGGACATTATTACAATTTGTACATATTACTTGAAACGTTTGATTAAGGGTGACTGATGTTTGTATGAATGATTGGTAATACGTAAGACGTAAAATATGGGATTCATTTAATATCTACATATGTATATATCTATATATATATATATATACATGCATACGCATGCATTTATATATAAATGTAAAATTTACTCGTACAATTCTCTTTGAGAACAACAAAAAAATACACGCCCATGAGCACAAGATATAACGACATCGATGATTTATCCTGTAATAAAGATTTTTTTCTTTTTGTTTTTTTAACATTTATTTATTGTATACTGTAGGACCTTTGCGTATTTTCTATTGTACATAACTGTCAATCGTTCGCTCGAGACATGAGCCATGGGCAATGCATATAGTATTCTAAATGGAAGTAATGTTAATCTATTTGTTCAATAAAATCATATCTGTACATACACACATACGTTTATCGGGTTACAATTGTAACTATGCGTGCGTCTACGGTGTCGAGCTTACACCAGTCTCAGCTCACACCAGTCTCAGCTCACACATTTCTCAGTTTACAAAATGCGAGAAGATCTAGAATATTCTTTAATACGATACTTTAATATCGTGACTATCATTGATAATTGAATCTGGATTGAAGTGTCAATATTTAGTCCAGAAGAAACGTCAATCGCGTGGTTTCATGAACACTGTCTCGTACAAGATGTATCTATATATTTATTATTTATATTTATCTCGATGTGGAATAATTTTATTCCAACATGTCTCTGTAAAGAAGTTCCTTATGTAGGTACACCATATAAACTACATTAACTAAATCGCTACAGATTACATAGCTTGCCGAGAAATATGGTCATCCGAAAGCATTCTTGAAAATACCGAGTAATAACTTCTATGTTCTCCCCATTTTTTATATATGTACAGCGATGATGTGAAGAGTGTCGAACTAAGTCTTCTAGGAATTAATAACTCCCGTTTAGATCTTTGTACGAAAAACGTATTTTATTAAAAGTTATAAGTAAGAAAATATACCCACTACATTCATCCAATACATTTATTCTGTCGGTTTATTCGTTATTATATTATTAACAACTGTAACAGAAACGATATTATCAATATACGAAACACTCTCAATAATATTGGAAACCTCAAAAAATCGCTCTTTGTACAAAATATCGATAAACATCAGAATATTGAAGAAGCGACCAATTCCGTCAAGAATGCAAGAATGTTTATTGCCATTAATAAAGATAACGCGCGACACATCTCTAATACCGTATAAATATTTGAAACTACAATCCTCTCCTCCAATACATGATGATAAAGATCAGTATGTAGAAGACTATCTTTACAGAAGTGATTATGGTAGACACAGAATTCCTAAATTTACTCCTTCGCCGGTTCTTCCCGGATCATCTCCAAGGAACTATCTGAATTGTTACTTCCACTTCCAGCATCATCCTCCCGTTCGGTTGCTTTCTCTTGAGTTTCATTTGTGGTATCCAACTGCCACGCTGGTATAGATGTTGGAGCAGTAGGAAACCTTCTACTATTGTAAACATTCGCCACCATTAAAATACAATCTGACGCTAACGATAAATAACACATACAATTGTAAACAAAGTATTTATAAAGATTTTGGATTACAAGCAACTTTTCCTATGTGTCAATTGTTCATAATGTAGAAAATACGTGTATAATGCAAATCGGAAAACTCTTTATATTATAAAAGATTGATTCAAAAGCGCATATAGTCAAAAGTAGGCGTAAGACAAAAATAGGCACAAAAGTTTGTATCTTAAATTTGGAATTTTGGACCTTATATTTTGTAAGCTCATGTAATTCTTGTTTAAAGAATCATCATACCACTAAAGCGCGATTATATTATTTTTTTAAGAATAGCCTGTACATGTACGCATGCGTAAAGTGTTTGATGAATGATCCCTTGTAAAAAGAAAGAATAAATTTAACATAAACAAATATTATGTATCACAACAAAACAATAAATAATGTCCAAATTATGATTAATCTCATTGTATAGCAATAAATTGCTCTTACTAACTTATATGTGTGTGCTCTATTATCGTAGCAACTAATTATAATCTCTATGAGAATGATAGAAGTTGGATATATACCTTGATAAGAGCATAGCTTTTAAATTAACTAGATCCACTTTGACTTCCCGCACTGTATTTAAGATATTTCTATTTTGTTCCTTCATTTCATACATATATTCGTTCACCTTCAGAATAGAGGCTTTTGTTGGCGCTATAGATTTTTCTACAGTTTCATTTAATTCAGAAACTGCTTCTTCCATACTGATTTTTGGCTTCTTTCGACCAAACAGGAAAGGTCTGATGAATTTCTGAAAAATTAGAAACTATCATAAGATTCTTTCAATAATAATCTCAGAAATATTATGTATAGTGTATATATATATATATATATATATATATATATATATATATATATATATATATATATAT